ACAATTGATATTCCTGAAATAAAAAGTATTTTACATTTAGCTGTTTCTTTTTAAGTTATAGCCATAAGATCACTGAAGCAACTTAAAAACAGGAGTAATTCTTCTAATAACAGAGAAGTCGGTGACAGAGGGAAAGAGAAGAAAGATTTGRAACATCAGAAAATAGAGAGAAATCAGCCGTTTCCAAAAATGTGGCTAATGAAATAGTCTTAGTTAAAATATGATGATGAAAGGGGAATAATATTTTGTGTACTATGTCATAAAAATTATGTGGATTTGGGGTAAAGCCTTCATAATTTTTGTTCTGGCACTGATGACTTCAAACTTGAATTTATAAACACAGAGCAGAGTAGTGCAGGTTGTGCCTGGGATACCTGCATGGAAGTTGCCAGTTCTGCTTCACCAGGTACAGCTTCTGCTAAGCAGCTGTTGAAGAGTGTGAGCTCCATAACATTGGGTAGAGTGGAAAATTCTTTCAGAAGACACTGTGCTATTGCTAAATCTGGCTGTCCCTATACAGGGATACTGATGCAATGTGCAAACTAGATAAACTTTAATATGATCTTTCTCAGACTGGGCCTTCTGAAGGCTTCCCTGGAGAGACAGAACAKTTTTTCCATTGCTGATTGTTAATTGCAGAAATTAGTCTTCCCATAACAAGTACTCTTACAGACAGGAAATGACTAATATACTTCACAGCTTGAACTACWTTTTTTTCCCTGTAAGAATATTTGTGAGGGTTGTAGTAAGAATGCTGTATYTTGTTTTTTAATCTAGGATCTGAGAATGAATATAGGTCAGAGAATATATGTTTTCCTAATTTTACATATTCTAAATGCATGTTTGTACTTCATAATTTCAAAGGGTAAGGCATACCAGCAGTGTATCTTTCTACCATCAAGGAAATAGCAATGATTTACATCAAAAGATAGCTAAAATTGAATCATTAAAGATCCATCTTGGTATCTCAAACAGCAAATGAAGATGTACTAGAGATAATTTGGGAAAAATTAATATGACGTCTTTCACTTTTGAATCGACGCTCATCTAGATAAAGATTGACTCTCTATTTTCAACATGAAATGTGTTCAGTCGCAGAAGATTCACAGTGGCCCATACCATTCCCTACTGTGTTGCACAGCTCTGCTCTGTGCTATGCCGCGCACACACACACACACACACACACACACACACACACCCCCACCCACCTATACATTTATCTGTATATATAAATGCTTCTCGGTGTAAATAGTTTGTCAGAAATTGAGTCAGTTCTGAAGGAATACCTCATTAAAGGATGCTAGTCCACTCCAGGAGACTTAATCTGTAGGCATCAGAAAAAGAGAGCAGTATTGCAGGTTATATGAAATATCTGATTTTGTGCTTTCTCAGACAAGAGAAAAAAAAAAAAAGTTTAGATATACTTTGCCTAAAAAGCAACAGGGTATACATTTCACACGGTACTTCATTAGATACGTGGCTTAGTATACATTAAATTGCTAATTCTAAGGGTTTTCTCTTAAATCACTTAATACCAAGAGAGGTTTTTTTTTCCCCCCTCAAATTGAGATTTTTTGTTACATTGAGATTAGAAAAAGTTTGAAAATGCATCCCAATAATATCCAACAGGTGAAAACAAAAAGAAAAACCAAAAAGTTGTATTTAGTCACTTCCATGATGCAGGTCAGGGGCATGTTTTCTCATCATCTTCCTTTCATACGTGAAACCAGCAGAATTCTTTCAACCTCATCTCTCAGGACCTGTTTTCTAAACCTGTGAACATTCTTTCTGCTTTCTTTTGGGCAGATTTTAATTCACGTAGACATTACATTTTTCATTTACATTTACATAGATCAATTTCTTGATCTACAGATTCCAAAACGGTATGATAGCAGAAGCCTTACCATCTAGAAAAAAAAAAAAAAAAAAAAAAGAAAAAAAGATTATTCCAATGCTTCCAATGTACTTTCTGGTGGTATTGTAATCTGCCATAATCCTTTGAGCCTTTTCCATAGATATTTTAACTTTGGCAGTAAGATTCCCATTATGGCGTTTAATCAGTTCATTATTTCAGCTCAGTGGGGCACTTGACATTTATCCTTATTGGATAGTGTCCTTTTATTCTAGATTTTATATCCAATCTTTAAAGTTCCCTTTGAATTCTAATCCTCTTCTCCAATGTGCATGAAGTCTGTTCCTGAATTGTTTTATCTGCAGTGTAATAAATGCATCAATTTGTGCAGTCTATTTCCAAAAAGTACTTTCATCTGTTTCTGGTAAAGCTTTCTTATTGATCCTGGCCATCTCTCCAGTTTTTCAAAATCTTCACGAATACTGATTCTTTTTACAAGATGCTTGCTACTCCTTCTAATTAAAAATGTTTCTAGACATTTAATAATTTGATTTCTATTCAGTCTCCTTCATTATTCAACTAAAACTTACAGGTTTGTTTTCTTTTATTTTGGACTTTCAAAAGGATTTTGTAAAGAGCATACCTGTRTTGAAATGAGCCTTGCTAAGAGGAAAAAGCCAGTTCTGGGAATTGTTATCCTTTTTTCCTTCCTAGAGGACTTATTTTTTTCACCACTTGCAGAGTGCCATTTGCAGACACCAGTGTTCTTTCCTGGGTGCCATCTGTGTAGCTGCCCACTCTTAGCGTCTGTTTCTCCGTGATTATGAAGCACTGACAGCCCTCGAAMTGAAATGATGAGTCACCTCTTCTTTGGTATTATAATCAGATACTCAAAAACAGTTCTGTGCTCTGTAATACACACTCAAATCCTCTAAATCTGGACAAAGTATCAAAAAACACAGTGAGGAAAGTGTTTAATGTATTTTTTACATGCTTGTGAGGGATTTCCTCTGTCTCTCTGAGACTTCCTCATTCCTCCTACATATGTCAGTGGGAGGAATTGAGTCACAGTCCATTTGAGGATTTTGAACTACTATAACTTTGGAGTTGTCACATGTCAGATGTTTTAGGAGGAGGTAGTAAAGTAAAAGAAATTGCCCTACAGCACATCAGCAATTCTGTAGTTAATATAAACAATGATATAGTTAATGTAAACTTTGAGTAGAGTTTTAGATTGCAATTGTTTAATCTCATTTCAAACATTAGTTTTGATGAAAGTTCTTTAAATGCCTCAAATATTTTTTTATGTATGTTTCTGAAGTCACAGCCTCACAAAAATGATCTCAAGATATTAGTATCCTTTCAGAATTTTGTGCAGAAAAAATTAAATTTCATCTCAGGAAGTAAGAAACTCATAAAAAAATACAGGAACTATATTTTTATTGTCATATGGGGAAATCATAGTAGGAATTAAACTGTTTAAAACATAAGATAATGTGACAGAAAGAAGTTAGTTTGCCAGTGATCAGAAGTGGAAAAGAAAATGTTTAACAAAAAAATGAATTTAAAATTATCATAGCTGGGTACTTCTTGTTAAAGCACTAGAAAATGTAAGACTGCAAAGAAGATGTAAACATTTTCTCAGTTTTGTTTTTATTGTTCATTGGCGTCTTGATGGACTACAGCTTATTTTTGCCATGAGCCACTGAAATGTTACCTGGTTTATTGAATCTTACATGAAGTGTCCCAGTAATGATGCTGAAATTTATGGAGGATACTAAGGCTTCAAGTCCAGGTGTTTCTCCCTTTCTTCTTTCTGTCCCAACAGACATTGTGCTTCCCAATCTATTTTTGCCCTCTTCCCCCCAAGCTTTTATTTGTATTCTTTCCTGGGTACGGTTTCTCTGTTGTATTAAGATGTGCTGAGGGTATAAATCCTGGTTTTCCTGATTGGAAGTAAACAGGTCTACAGAGATGCAGACTATTAAATCAAATTGACAGTTTGATTTTGAATACTGACACAATTAAATTAATATTCAAACACATTCTTAATATTCCTACCACATGTCTTTTTCATAAACTCAAATTTCATTTCACTGTTTCACTTCAAACAAAAAGGTGTATTAGCCATAGAATGTGCACAGCTCATTCATTTTCAAAAGGACCAGAAGTTTGACTGGAAAAAGGRAAAAAATAAGTAAGTCTTTCCAGTATTTCACTGTTGGTGTTCGCTATTAAAGGTAATTTATGAAATTAAGGAATGAATTAAATTAAGGAATATTAATTAAGGAATGAAAACTTCCTGTTTTAATACTGTGGAATTGATCACAACCTGACCAAAAATCAGCTTTGTCTCTTGACAAAACTTTAAATGTATTTCACATTTTCTGTTGTTAATACAGAGGTTTTGCAGTGAACCCTCACTGAGCCAACAAAGTCCATTTCTGAAAGAAAATGCTCGTACCTGTCTGTGAAATTTATTTTATACATAATTTTGTGTTTTAATGCCATACATGAAGTTTGACGTTTCTGTTTGCTCTTAAGAAAATCYATTGCTGCTTAAAAAACAAGTAGGACTTGTTGCTCTTACTTATTTTTCTTAGGATTTCTTTAAAATAAAACTAATGGGGCTATTTTAAACTCCCACCTAGGTGTTTTAAAAAGCTTTCTAAACAGTTACATTTTGTCTCAGAGTTCAGCAGACAACAGTGTGTGATTTTCACCCTGTTCTCTAACAATCACTTGCTTTAAAGAGTGGAGTTAGATTTATAATTGATCAAAATAGAGCAGAGTAGAAGCAAAGGTATTCAATACACAGAACTTGGTGTGATTGGTGTTTGTGAACTGCTCATTAACTGTCAGTGCAGACCATGTGAGGATTGATTAGTGATCTGAATGCAGATCAGGACAATATCAAAAGAATTGCAGTGCACTGAAATAGTTGAAATTTTGCTGTTAGATAGATCACATATGAGTTATTTTAAATGGGGAAATTTTATTTAATTTGGAAGATATTAGCCTTATCAATAGTGCATAATAGGAAAATAAATAACTTCCATATGGCCATTAAAATTAAAAGATAGATTTTTTTTTTTACAGAAGAAGTTTGTTTAAAATGCTAAACATTTTTATATTGATTTTTTATTAGGTTTTCTACAAAAGAAATTATTTGTTGAAACTCTCGGTGGCTTGGTTAAACTGAACCTTGGAATAAATTGCTTTTCTGATGCATGGACAAACTTAACACTTACAGATGTAAGTTAACCCCTATTTTCTCTTCAACTGGAGTATTGGTTTGTGTAGAAGATGCAGTATTGTCCTTATTAGGATAAGATGAAGATTGTAACTATTATAGGACATTAACAGTGTTTCTTTAAAATTCTTCTGTTTCTCTAGAGAAGGATTATGAAAGTTACTATGCCAGGAAGTTTTTCAGGACTGTACTTTGTTATAATTTTCAAATTGTATCAGTCCTTAAAAGATCATCCAAGGTTTTCAAATTTAGGAGCATGAAAACTTAGAATTTAGTCTTTCCAAATCTTCCATACTGAATTAATTTTTTCTTTCACATGTTGCTGGTAAGAATATGGTGTTTTGATAACTATTTCTGATAGTAAACCATGAGTCACATTAAGATTTTAACTACATTTCACATGAAGGAAACAGCTTTATTCAGATGTTCTTCACACAGATGGACTGCATGAGTAAAATGTTTTTAAGTTTAAAATGGTGCATTTCCAGTGAGTTTAGTGAAAACTAGTCACATCTGTCATCRTGAGTATATAAAATCCTAATCTTAGCACAGGAAATTAATTATACAGGGAAAGCTATCAGTCAAATATTGTCTATTAAGAGACCACATGTGCATGTATCTCATGTTCTGTATTCTTTGAGAACTTTTAGTGCTTATAAATCCTATCTTTATTTTAATAATAGAATTTTCTTTCTTTATAAGAACCATTTTAAATGAGACTTTAAAATTTATTGTATAAGCAGGAACTTACTTACAAAAGGAGATTAATGAAACATAAGCTAAGGTACACATTTATTTTGCACAACCTATCCTGAGCTAAGCTCACCATTTCACCACTGTGTGACTTAAAAGAATCTCAAATAAATTTTCAATTAATAATAAACAGGGTTTTTGTGGCCAGTGTTAGGACAGAGGATATCTACAATGTCACCAAATTGTCTCACTCTGTGCTGGCCCAGGCCCTTCTTCCTGTGAACACATTGCTTCCTCTCAAACTGCAGTCTGGAGCAACACAGGCACTTCCCTTGAAGAGGAGATGTGGGTGCGGGGCAGAAGGCAGTGCAGAGGTGCAGGAGTGCAGAAATGCTCTGGGCTGATGTGGTTCTCCCTCTCAGACACAGCCTCTGTGGGGCTCTGTCAGGAGATTTTGTGTGTGTTCTGTTCTCTGCTGAATACTTGGACACCTTCCCTGGTACAAAGACACATGAARCAAGCTGCAAAGCAGCTTTTCTACCTTGGCTTTTTTCTAGCCAAAATAATGCTGSAGCAGGGAAAAGCTAGTTGGTGGACACCTGTAAGAGTAACAAGGCCAAGGTGCAGGACCGAGGAYTTACTGGATTTTGTGATCATGGTGCTAAATTGTCAGTTCAATCCTTGGTACTCCTATACAACAGATCATGGTTCAAGGGTTAGCATCTTCTAAGGAATGATAGCTCATGGGCAGGTTAGATATAGATGCCTATTTGGGGAGCCAGGGTRTGGTTTTAGAGAGGTATCAACTGCACATCCCAGTTGACACACTGTGGCTCATGTCCTGTTTCATTTAGTCATACATGCCCTGTATAGAAATATGAAATTTCACTGCAAAACCTTGTCCATCCTAGCCTGGGAAAAATCTAAGGATACACAGGATATTGAAAGAGTATGTTTGTGCACATGTGTTTGACAATATTTATTATTTTGGTTTTACAGTTAGAAAATCTGGCATCTCCATTCACAGTGAGCTCCGAATTTACTGACTGGCGCAGATTCTTGCTGGCAGTAGCACAGCCTTGGCCAGTGCCATCTGTGACACAGCTCCTCAAAACGCTGCATGCCTTCAAGACTGTTGATGTCACCAGATCAGGCTTTATTACACTGGAACAGTATCTGGAGGTTATAATTTATCCTTTCAATCAAGTTTTGCTTTGTTAAACTCTCTGAGTTGAATGATATGTTGTTTGGTTTATTTGCCTTAAGAAACTCAGTCAGAATTTTAAGTGCTTTGGATTTGAGGGCACTTTCTAGTGAAAAGTGTTTTCAAGAAATTGATGGCCTAATACCTATCTTGTCCTAAKTTCCACAAATCAGGCTAATTAAACTAATTTTTTACTTGGTTTTCCTACTTCCCCATAAATGAATTTCAAGCATAAATCCTTTCTGTTTTAAAGAAACCATTCTGYGTGCACTTTGATGATTATTAATTTTTTTGACACTGAATAAGATAGTGAATTTGCTYCATCCAAAAATAAGGATTTTAGTTTCATCTCATCAGCTGCACTTTAATTAAATATATCTAGATTTTTTTTTTCCAATAAAGAATTTTCTCAAGTTAGGCTTATTGCTCAGACCTTTAATACATGGGAAATTATAAATTTTTTTATCTTTTCTCCGAAGACAACTTCTGTTTGAATTGTCACAGAGTTCAATGAGGTTTTTCAGGGAGGAAGTTTAATGAAAGACTGTTATTAATACATTTTTGTCCTTTTAGCAAGATTCTGCTCATTTTCACTTACTTTTACTTTGCATTCTTAATCATACCTAGAATGACTGCTAGTTGACTCTCAGTTCATACTAGCTGTAAGTATCCTATATGTGTACATATAAGTGTCTATAGATACACATATTTATGTGTGTGTGTGTGGACAGAAGGTCTACAGTCCTGCCAGCTTGTTTATTTGTTTGGTGATACTGAATGTAATTTTCAAACAATTTTCAATTGTTTTGAATAAATCTCATAGGACCTTTATTGCAATTTCTTTTCCACTCACCTAGAGGTTTKTTTTTTTTTYCTAAAAGAAAGAAATAAAGGCTGTGTTGTTCCAGAGGCCTGTCATTTTCAGAATTTCTTTGGTTAATTTAAAACTTCTATGAGCATCCACCAATCCCTGCCCACCACTGACTTTCAAAGAAACAAACTCTGCAAAGCCAGAAAACCCACAAAAATTGCAGGTCTATCTGTATTTCTTTTTCTTTTGTTGTAAATTTTACTGCAGTATAAATTTTACTACTAAGCTAACAGTTGCATGACATGCAGACTGAGAATGTACATTTTCAGCACAGGCTCCTATTTCAAATACAATATAAACTGAACAAAAAATTTAATCATTTCAGGATTASAAGGTAATAAATATGCAATAAACAGCTGATTTGTTTGTAGACCTACTCCCTGTTGGTTTTTCCAAACTTCCATGGGAGTGATGATTCTGAGCCTACAGTCTCACTTGCTTACAGACTAGGAAGAGCTTAAAGAGTTCATGAACACACAGATGACTTCACAGCTGAAACTCCTTTTTCAGAAGACGATTGTATAGGTAGSCACATAACATGGGTACTCTAGAGAGCTTTATAGGAACCTCCAGAGACTGTCCAAAGCAACTCAGTTGAACAATGTGCATTGTTCTGAAGGGTTTGTTGTGCAAATGACTYGGATTTCCTTTGTATCTGCTGTGTGTGAGGTCCTGCAGTTTGTGTTATTGACAGCACTGTGGTTTGGAACTTTTGAATATRCAATTATGAGAAGAACAGGAACAGAAGTTGTCTCACTTAAGTTTAGCCCTCTAATTTCAAATTAATTGATTAGCAAATCTGAGTTGGTTTTATTGCCATCTTTGTTCTATTCTTTTTGAGCCATTTAGGACAAATTTTTTTAGGTCTTACTGTCTTAAGAGGAAACAATGACAAGCAATGTTCACTGAGAGCAACAGGAAAAACTTCCTGCTGGGAATTTGAGCTGCTTCAGCTGGCATCTCTCTCTGCACATGTACAAATATACTACACCGTGCTGGGGACCATCCCCAGGTAATGGTGCTGGGTTGTCCCTGCTGTGATGTTGTTTTGTACARCCTGGCATAGTTTCACACAAGTGAGTTTTCCTGCTGGCAGTCTCTTCATGCCTATCCAGCTGATCCTTCCTATGTCTGGAGTCTAATACTAGAAAACTGGTTCTGAGGGCTTTGCAGTTGTAGGTGTAGCTCTGTAGGAGACTTGTTAATTTGGTGGAAGCAGGCAAGTGTGGGAGAGCTGKGCCTCTGTCCTTCATTACATTGAATTGTATGGACAGTTTCTTCTAAAGGTACAATTTGGACAAAAGCTATAGATGTTAGCAAAGGATGTCCGAAAGAGAAGAAACCAGAACATATATAGAAACTTCATATCATATTCTGCTTCTTTGGCAGCAAAGATTTACAACAAAATAGTAAATTTTCACTTTTTTCAACAGCGTACATTCACCTCTATCATTGATTTTCAGTAATTGCTCAAGTATCTGTTACAATGTGCAAACGGCTACTTAATAATTCTCATGTCATTGTATATTAATAACAAATTCAGTCTGGTTAACTTCAGAARTAAGGCTCTTACTAACCTCTCTGTTGAACAGTTAAAGACCACATTATTTCAGTGTGTTAAATGAAACAAACTTATGTATTTATTTATTTTTAAATCAGGTTGGCTTATGGTTTAATGGAAATGAAGATCTAAGTGTAACAGGAAGTTGCAAAGAACCCGTGCCTTCAGACAGACTAAAACAACTCATAAAGGTAACTGAAAACATGGGTATTTTGCAGTGACCAATATTCAAACATGAGAAGTCTCACTTCAGAGTTTTTTGGGTCTCTGTTTTTCAATAAGTGCTGCATTTTTTCGATGTTTTTTCAGGTCAAGTGGTGCTTCAGAATAATGTAGAGAGGAATTCAAGAATCAGCCTTGAGTATTCTAAATCATAGTCTACTCACAAAGACTTAATTATTCCTGTCCTTCATTTGAATGACATTAATTTTGCTACACAGCAGCCAGCTTTGTGAAGAATGAGAAGCAAATGATCAGTGCATCTAAGCTTACAGAATTTTCCATGAAAGAGAGGCTAATAATAATCTGAATATAAAAAAATGCTTTGAAAATATTTGTCATGATACAAGGTTTTTTTAATTTCTCCCTTTTCTGTGAAATTCAATTTCTGTTTCCTTGAATTACCTAACACACATTTATGATTTGTCTTGATTTGTACAGCCACAACATATTTTTAAGTATAGTAGCTCTTATTGGCACTAATTACCATATTTCATCCTTTTCTCTACTGTCCTTGATTTGTATTTCATTTAATTCCACTTTATAGGAACTAATTTGTGTATTTTTGTCATAGTTTTTCTTCAGTTTATTTGCGTTTACCAGAAAAGACCCTGCTCTGCTGAACTATACGAGGATGCTGCTTTACTTTGCCTGCCACTCAGATCCAGTTGAAGGTGTATACAGAGCACTTAGTGTTGCTAGTGGAACACACGTTCACAGAAAAAAGAAAGCTTGTCTTCGACGTGCGGTAAAATATTACAGAGAAATGCTAGASCATAGTAGTAGTGCTTACTGAATTAATGGGAATACTGTATTGATAGTAATACTAAAAGGATTCCTCCAAAAGTCTGGAAATCTGCTTACCAAATAATAATCATAGTTGTAAATATTTACYGGTAACTACTCCTTGTATACATGAATGGAAGTAATTCTTTTGCTTAAACTTACACCAAATGTCAGTCCCTGGGAATTGGACTATAGTGTGACTTACAGTATTGTTATCTCAAGATGCAAAAGCTGGTCTTTATTTTCCACTATGTTTCTCTGGGCATTCAGACACATCGTTATTGTTATTTTGAAGTGTTTAGGCTTACCTGTAAACCAGATGGATTAAGGATAATTAGTTTGATACAAAACAACTTATAAATTATTTTTGCAGCCATAATGAATGTATTGTCACAACTAATGAAACTTGTCTTTTGAACACTATTAATATTTCTGGAGTATGTTGTTATTGTCTTAAAACTGCAGTTAGCCTACTGCATGCATCAGTTACTTAATATTGAAATATAATTCATTTTTTGAGACATCGATTATGTATCTATAAATGCCTTGGAAAAAGATTGCCACTCCAGAAAACAAAATTATTCATTGCCCTGTCACARCCACAGTGACTCTAGCATTTGCCCACGACCTGAAGTACAGTTGAGATCTCCAGAAACAGTATAGAAAAGGGGTTCTTTTACTACATCAAATGCATATGCAAAATAGCATTTTATCACTTCAAATGGCAAAAGTTACTGTTATACATCYGTGTGTTTTATTTGACACAACAGAGTTTTTGTACACTGCAGAGACTGAATAAGACAATTTTCTTTCCACATTTCATAGGAAGAAGGAGCMCACAGAACGCTCCCAATAGATACTGTGGACCTGAATTTAATTTTCRAAATCTCAATGGAAAGTTCTAACTTTCATCTCATTGCAGATAAAGCTACACAGCCTATTCTACTTTTATCCATTTTCTGCTTGGTTTGATCTGTTTGGTTGGAGGTTTTGTAATATATAAGTAAGAGCACTGTCATTATCACCTGCCATTATACAGGCAGTTTGTGTGCCTAATTAATCTTGGACAGTCCCTTAGAAACCGATAAATGTTCAAGAATTAGATTTTAAATKAATCTTGCTTGTGTGGATTCTCTGACTTTGTAATTGCCTTAGTTGGTGYTCAGAATCACAGGACTGATAAAACATATTTTTAATACTTTCTTTCTCCTTATGCCTTGTGTTCCACGTCTGTGCACTTAGACAGTAATGCTGAATACAGATAAAAGACAACAAAAGAAATCTCATTCCACTGAAATGAATGCGTTTTCTCTGTGGGCTTTAATAGAGGCAGCATTTCATGCAGGTCATTCCACAAACACAAGGGGGCAAAAAGTAAATTGTGTATTGATATAATGTAATGTTTGAGCCAAGCTCCATCAAACACACAAAGCCCTGAAGACATTAAAAGTGTTTTTCACCACTAAATTAAGAAACTAAATCTTTGTGTTCCCTGCAGCCATTTACATATGATCTAAATGTCCCAGTTCTCACTCCAGGTACTGCAAATTTAGTAAATATTATTGGTGGAACATTCATCAGTGAAATATAAAGAGCTATCCAACTCATCTCTAGAAGTTTTGTAATACACGTTCAGTAGCTGGCTCATATTTAGGCACTTACAGAACTGCACCTCATTTGTCTCTTCTCTTGCTTGTTCTGTGCTGATAATTGTAGCAACTTCTCATTGGTGTCTGTCTACAGAAATGCATCTGAAGCCTTCAAGTTGTTAAGAGAAGCTTGCACAAACGTATTCTTGAGATCTTTTCCTCGTTTCATCGCAAAGATCCTCTCACTTAAAATGCCCAGCTTTTATGTCTGAATAATGTTGTTAGTGGTTTTGTGTAGTTCTCACAGCTCAATATAAACAATGCAGTGAGAGACAGAAAAACTTCAGTGCTGTTATTTCTGTAGTATTGACTACTGTGTGTTAAAAAGACTGTATAAATTACTCTCTTCCTCCTGTGCTCGAAATGAAATGTATTAAGGACCAAGGCACAGAGCACAAGTGTGATGAGCGTCAGCAGTCTGTCCTTCCTAATGAGGAAAGAAATGGTTTGTTCAATTAAATGCAATTTCCTGTTGTTGTTTGTGGTTAGTCTACACAATGGAATATTCCAGTCAAAGCCTTGTTCACCTGTGTGAGGTCCTTTCTCATCTTTGTACTCACAAATCTCTACATCAGYTTTTTTGGTTGTTTTTTGGGTTTTTTTCCTCTTTGATCAGCTCTAATACCACCACAAAATTACCTAATTGCTTGCTTAAAGTAAACATAATTTTTCAGCACAAACTAGAAAATACTTTTTTTCTGTGGAGAGCTGGTTATCTGTTGGCAAAAACAGAGTTCTTGCAGTGACTCCATGATTTGGACTGGAAAATTCATATTTTTTTTTTTAAGTGAACATCCAGAGCTACCACATTTACTCCTTGAATAAACACAAGGTTCTTGGTATTTTAGTTTATAACTATTAAATATTTTTGTGTTTTGTTGCTCTGAGAAATACTAGTTTTTCGGTAAAATGTTGGCCACATTCCTGGAAAAAGCTGTTAAATTCCTACTAATGCCAACATTATGGATTTTTCTGGACTCTCAGGATCTATTTCTCCATCCAGCAATGCAGTAGGTAATTTTGTGAGTTTATGATTTTTATTTTGTAAGAGCTGAAGTTTGAAAATGTAATCCACTGATACTTGATGAATGTTTTACTGAAACAGATTATCTATTGACAGACTATTAATCCCCAAGTATGATACCTGTGCTTAACTTTTTTAGGATTCTTCAATATTCTYAGATGAGAAGACTTTAATAGAAGATGGAAAAGAAGTTTTGAATTACCCAGATGAAGGAAAGATTTCAATGGAATCTCTACTCAAAATGTTTCCTAGTGAAGGAGATATAGATGAAGTTTATCACAGATATAGTGATCTGCTGAAGGCAGAAAGCTATGATTCGGTAGGCAGATTGATTCAAGGAAGGTTTTTTAGCTCGCATCAAATGTTAAAAAATATGCTGTAATCTTTACTTTTCCACATTTTTTTAAAATAAATTGACCACATATTATTTTTTCTTAAAGAATTTCATCAAGATGTACCAAGAATTAGGTTCTGAAGACCTGAGACCCATTGCAGTTAAACTCCTTCTGAAGCACCCTTTCATGAAAGGGTTGATTCACACGTGTCAAGAATACAGTCTTCCTGTAAGTATGSCTTTCTGGGACCAAAGGCTTAGTAAGCACACATACTTAAATTTGCATTATCCSAGAAATGAGATGTCATTAATGTAGGTGCTGCTAATTTCTCTCTCAGCTGTAGGGTAGATCAGATGTTTTGTTTTCCATGAAAATTCCATCCTACAAAGGCTGTGCTGCTTTCTTATCTGNGTTAAAGTTCCTTTTACATTCTTAATTTTTCCTGATCTGTAGCAATTGAAGACTTTCATTTTTTTTTACATTAGAATTTCATATAACTAAATTATTTTAGTACATAATCTTTCCTTGTTGTTTTGTACTGAACCAATCAAAATAATTGGATCATCTCTATTTCAAATTACTAGTTAGACTGACAAGAAGATGAAAATTATTTTCTCTCAGGAACCAAATTTGCTCTGAGGGAAAAAACTATTAATCATTTGTAGGATCGGGTCTTCTTTATCAAACTTGAAGAATAAATACCATAGGTATAGCCTCATTATTTTAATAGTCAAAAACAAACTCCCCTGTCTCAGTAATTTAAGAATATACAAATAGATTATACAAACTATTTTGCATGCATTCTTTTTCAGCTACAGAGCTGAAATAAATTTGCTGATTGGTTTATGGGAAGCTTATGCATGTAAGATGAGCCACAGCTGAGATGGCCTAAACTCAGCTTTAAGATCTTTTCAGTTTACAGGTCCAAAATGATAGCTGGGCATACAAGAATTTCAACAACAACAACCTGAAAAATAAACTAATACTTTATTCGTAACCTTTTTTTCCAAGAACAATACCCTGGTCTCTCTTGATATTTATACCAATGCAAGTCTCTTTAGCGTTCATTTTTTAGGGTTATACATGGAAAAATAAGAAAAAAACAGATAGGATGTATAAGATTGAATTGTATATAAGGAAGCCTAAATTATGTGTTCTGACAATTACAGATTATATTCCTAAATACAGTTAGGTCTCAGGATCCAAGTATTTGCTTCTGTTCCTACTCAGAAATAAAATTTTAGAAAACGTTTAATTTCATGAGTGGAATGTGAATGGAAAATAGATGGTTTTCACAGAAAGAAATATAATCTTCATGTATTTCAGAAAATTATGATGTAGATTAGTTTCTTGTGGTCTTGTTTTATCAGGAACATTGCAATTATATTTTCATTGCCAAAATATATTTTCCCTTGCTACTTCTTTCAAGACCTTAATTTTGTTGGTTTTGACATCCACTAGCAGGAAAAGTTGCTGAGTCTGTTCACTTGTTTCTTTCAGGAGAATATATATTCTAGAAAATTAGCCCTAGGATGTAAACTGTCTAAATATCCCAAATGTTTTTTTGCTACCATTGCTTGAGAAAGATATGAAAAGTCCATCAGTTTTTATTTCAAGGCAAGAACAGCTATTTCCAGCATTTGGCTCATAAAGGCAGTGCATGTCCCAAATACATTTGTATTCCTGTCCTTTCCAAGTTCATCTTCCTGCATCTTTTTGTCTGTCTCGCTTTAAGCCTTGCCTAATTAATGAGGGAATTTGGGAAGCAGTGCAGCTTATAGGCCACTACACTCTGACTTCCTTAGACAGAAGGAATTCCAGAGAGTAACAATATGTTTTCCTATATCGTGTGCCTTCCAGAAACACAGCAAAATAGCTCCCAAAGTGTTGGAGGAATAAGATTTGAAAGTGACAACATAGCTGTGTTCCACCTTTTCAGAACCATTTGACTGGATCATGCTGGAGGGAAATATAAGCCTAAGCATTTTACAGCATAGAGACTTAGCAAAGTATGAGTTTGGCAAAATGGCTTTGAGGCAGCAAGGCTGGATGTGACAAGTAAAAATGCACACAAGTCCATTGAGAGAAGGTGAATGAAAGTGGATTAACTGGAATAACTCACGTATTGAAGCAACTGATATCTAATATTCTGATGGCCTCCATGGAAACACAGTGGGATGGGCTGCTGGAGGAGAGGGTCACTCATCTGCTCAGATTGTGCCTTGTGTCTCATATACTGTCAGCAGAGAGCTTGGATATTCCCATAGCACACTTTTTGTGGTTTCATTTTACACTATAGATAAGACATGTTTGTTGTTTTGTTTGGGTTTTTTTTTGTTTTTTTTTGTTTTGTTTTGTTTTGKTTTTTTGGGGCAAGTCTTGCTCCTAGAGCTGCCTACAGGTTTTCCACTGCCTTGTCTGATGAGGATTTGCCTTTCTCCCCATCCATAGAAAGGAGCCTGGTTGTATTAGCCTCCCAACAGGATCATACTGTAAGACACTGTAGGATGTGTGGTAGATCCCATTCCATCCCAGGCCAACCAGCAGAAAAGGGCATGCAGAGGTAGTACTGGTCCAAGTGTTCTACTCTGCTGTTCTCTAAAGCTTCCCTATGTTTAAACATGCACCTATGTATTAAAACAGTCACACAGAAGGCAAGTTTGTGCCAGAGTATCACCCTATTTGATGTATCAAACATTMATACTAGGGTACTCAATATATAGGGGGTAATAAAATAACATGAGACAAGATGAGAGGATGCTTGCATGTGTGTGTCCCCTATCAAATATAAACAGTCTTCATAAATTTTAGATGGTCACCACCACAGTGTCTTGCAAAAGGCAAATCTGAGTAAGAGACATGATACTTCAGGAGTAACTTGCTATTAATTACATTCATCACTTGTAGGATGTGAATTGCCCAGCATTTATTGTACCACTCATGGTAAAACATAAACTACAATAATAAAAGAATATATTTACTCGGTCAAAGTAAGTGTTAAAAATKCATTTGCTATGGTAGAAAGGAATAGAAAAGGAAAATATAAGACAATAACAACACAATTGAAGATTATAACTACAGATGTGTGTCTGTCCTGCCAATGTTGACCTCTCAGCCAATTGGGAAGACAGACATCATGGACTGTAGAGTCATTCCTCCCTTCCCCATTCTTTCTTCCTGACTCTTTTTATTTAGTTGAGTACTGCATTTTCTAATTTGGCTTTTTTTCCAGCCTCTCTGGATTTCTTGTATAATGAAGCACTTTTTAAAGCAGCCCTCTGCTTGTGTCCTACCTCAAGAACTGCTCTTTACACAAGCCCTCATGACTTTGTAACATTTAACATAATGCCTCCTCTTCATGAAGACCAAATGTCATGAAATATAAAGTAAAACTTAATCAGGGTGTAAATGGAGTGAACCCATATCTATCTGCTTGGCAATTTACAGGGACTCTTTGTAAAAACCTTTTCACGATGACCAATATTTGAAAATCAAAAGCACAGTGCCTATTCTTCATTAAAATTTCTAATCTTCCTTTACCAATTTAGGAGGAACTTTGTTGCATAGCTTGAAGAGTAGATTGTAGTGCATGCTTAAATTGTATTAGCTACCATCAATCACCTGTGTTATTTCTGACTGGTAGGATATGTTCAGGGCAGTTCAGTTATAGCAATCATCCATCTGAGAAAACTTATAGGATAGTGTATATGAGTCTTGGCAGTAACTGAGGGTTTCAGTGCACATGTTCTAGCCCAGAGGAGTTTCCACATCTTGTTTATATATTGGTATCATTGCATTTAAATAAGACATTTTTCCACTTATTTGGCAGGTTCCTTTGAAGCCTGTATCTCCTGACTCAACAGTTGGGTGATGCAGAATTTCTGTTTTCATTTGTAATGCTTAAAATTTCCTCTTGGAAAGGCTTAAACTGACTGTATCTCAAATATGGTACTCTATGGTTTCTGTAGTTAAACCCGGAATATTTCATTCTTTGACTGTACTGTTAAAGACAGACTTTTGTTTTATGCATGAAATCAACACATTTAGATTTACAAATGTCGTGGGTTTAACGCCTTGGAATTCCCTTTCCCGGCCAATGCACCAGAAATGTCGTGGTTTGAACTGTGCCCACGACGTTCCCTCCTTTCCCC